GAAAACCCACACAGGAGAGAAACCCCATAAATGCTTGGACTGTGGGAAAACTTTCAGTCAGATCTCATACCTTATTAAACATGGGAGAACCCACACGGGAGAGAGACCGTATAAATGCCTGGACTGTGGGAAAACCTTCAGTCAGCGCTCATACCTTATTAAACATGGGAGAATCCACACTGGAGAAAGACCCTATAAATGCCTTGACTGTGAGAAAGTTTTCAATGAGCGATCAGCCCTTATTAGACATGAGAGAACTCACATGGAAGAGAAACCCCATAAATGCTTGGACTGTGGGAAAAGCTTCATTCAGACATCACAACTTATTATACACCAGAGAGTGCACACAGGAGAGAGACCCTTTAAATGCTGTGAGTGTGGGGAAAGTTTTATTCAGAACTCAAAGCTTATTACACATCAGCAAATCCACACAGGAGAGAGACCTTATAAATGCCTTGAGTGTGGAAAAGGTTTTAGTCAGAGTTCAACGCTTATTACACATCAGCGAACCCACACAGGAGAGAAACCCTATGGATGCCTTGAGTGTGGGAAAGGTTTTATTGCAAGTTCAGCCCTTACTAAACATAGGAGAACTCACACAGGAGAAAGACCCTATAAATGCCTTGAGTGTGGGAAAAGTTTCAGTGTGAAATCAGCCCTTAACATGCATCAGAAAACCCACACAGGAGAGAAACTCCATATATGCTTGGACTGTGGGAAAAGTTTTAGTCAGCGCTCATACCTTACTAAACACAGGAGAATCCACACGGAAGAGAGACCTTATAAACACCTTGACTGTGGGGAAAGCTTCAGTAAGAGCTCAGAACTCACAAAACATGAGAGCATCCACAAGGGTGAGAGACCCTAAAAACAGCTTGACTGCAGGAAAAGCTTCAATTTGACTTCACACATCAGTGACCCACACAACAATGAGACCTTGAATCTGGGGGAAGTTTCATTTTGTGCTCCCGGAGTATCAGGCATTTACAAATCTACATAGGGTAGAAACCTCTGAGATGTCCTCAGTGTGGAAAAGATGCCAAGAGGAACTAACTCCATACTGTACATCAGAGACTTCTCTGCACAGCAGAGAAACAGTGCCCTGATAAAGGGGGACCATAGTGAAAAATCCATTCTCTTGTTCCCACACCCATCAGGGGCATTTGGCTCCCAATTATCCAGCTGCCCATTGCAGGAGTGAAGATAAAGCAGCACCTGAGCATCTGCTGGTCAGTGACCCTCTGGCTCTGCCTGGTCTCAGCAAACCCCAGGCAGAGGAGGAGAAGCCCCCATCAGCCCCTCCCCCCTGCTGCAGCCCTGGCTGCTGAGCTGATGGGCCACAGGTGGGGGAAGGGAGAGAGAGAAACTCCTCCAGCCGCTCCCTCTGCCTGACTGAAGTTCCCCCCCTCTCCCTTCCCCTCCCAGCCAGGATCCCCCTGCCATGGAGATGAGGAGAAGGACACTTGGGCCAGGCCCCCACCTTCATTCTAGACCCCTGTCCCCATCCTTCATCTTCCACCAGCCCCTGGGCTGGGCTCCCCCACTGACCTGGAGCTGTTCCCTGCAGGGGGAGTGTCCCTGGGGGCTGGTAACTCCTCCCCTCCCCAAATCCCCCAGGGCGATGGGCTTTGGGGGATCAACTGTTAAGGGACCAAGGCGATGGGTTCTGGGGAGGAAACGGGGGATTGAATGGCTGGGGCTGGGGGATATCGAATGCTGGGGGTATCGAGTGTTTGGGGACCCTGGGATAAGAGGCGAGGGAGAGCACAGGGGTAGAGAGGTGCTGCCTCTCATCACTCACCCCCTCTGCCCCTTCTCCCTGCCCCCGCTGCATTCAGACAGCACCATTAGCAAAGACTGATTCTCACAGGGCCTTTTGTTGGAAGCCTGGATTTCCCACCTCTGCTACAGCAGCATCAGCCTCTGAGAGGGAAGCTGCGCTGCCTAGTGGATAGAGCTCTGGCCTGGAACTCAGGAGACCTAAGCTCTGTTCCCAACTCTGCCAGCAGCTTGCGGGGTGACCTGAGACAAATCTGTGCCTTCCAGAGAGGGAATAAATGGGGGGTGATAATATCAGCCTCCGAGTGTCTGTTTAGGGCAGGAGAAGTGGTTGGGATTAGCTAGTGCGTCTCCTTTGTTCCGCCTCCCCTTTTGTAGCCTAGACTGACCCATAGTGGTTTATTCCAACCCCTATTAGCAAAGTGATCGTTAGAGTCACTAAGTGCCCCCTTTGGAGTGAGATTGTGTCATTCCCATATATTAAATTAGTTTGACAGGTTGTAGCTCAGGTTTATTGGGGACTTCAAAAGACAAATAATCACTTGCCAAAATAGTCCTTTCTGATTTTCTTTTCACATTTCCCTAGGCTCTGTCATGAGTCTTTCTTGGTCTTTGAACCGTGAAAATGACCAGTATCTATCCGAGAGTCAGAGACTGAAATGGGGAAGGAAGTGACTGCCTGATCCCTGCAGAGATGTGTGATACATTCAGGAGTGGGGAGAGTGTGGGTGGACAGGGCCTTGAAAGGGCGCTGTTTGCTTTTGCGAGCCAGAGAGCTGAGTCTGAGAACTGTGAACTCACTGCACATGTCCCAGAGAGAGAGAGGAAATGTCTTACAAGTGCTGGGTAAAGTCGTCCTTGAACTCTAAAGGGCTATCAATGATGCTCCAAAAGGATTGATGTTGAGAGGAGTCGGCGTCTCCCCATTGCTGAGAGGAGGAGGCCGGGCAAATGCCTCTCATGGATTGTTAGCGCTTTTCTACCAGCTTTAACTTGTTCCTCTTTCCCTGGGGCGCGTGTGTGGCTGGAGCACCAGTATGCTGAGCTGGGGCTGAAATGCACCGTGCCGAGCTGGGCGTTGGATTGGGGCGGGGGGGGGGGCAGGATTTAGCTTTTATTTCTTGCTTTGAAAAGAATAAAGTAGAATTTAGTTTCTCAAACTCCCAGTGTCCCTTGTCTTGAATAATGGGGGTGAAGGGGAATGGTCTTTAATGGACTCCGCGGCTTTCTGGCTGTCACCCATTGACGCAGCTGGGGAAAAGGCTGGTATTCTGGGGTGTATTAACGTGAGTGTTGTAGGAGGTCGTTGTCCCACTCTGCTCGGCCCTGGGGAGGCCTCAGCTGGAGTCCTGTGTCCAGTTCTGGGCACCACACACTTTCAGAAAGATGAGGACAAATTGGATTGAGTCCTGAGGAGAGCAACAAAAATGGCAAAAGGTTTAGAAAACCCGACCTGTGGGGGGAGGTTAAAAAACGTGTGTCTATTACTCTTGAGAAAAGCAGACTGGGGATGGTCTGCAGCCATGCTAAGGGCTGTTATAGAGACTGGGGATCAGTTGTGCTCCATGGCCACTGAAGATAGGATGAGAAGTAAAAGTGTTAAGCTGCAGCAAGAGAGATTTAGGTTCGATATTAGGAAAACTTTTTAATCCTACAGGTATTTAAGCTCTGGAATAGCTTCCAAGGAAGCTTGTAGTGTCCTCAGCATTGGAGGGTGTTGGGGTTTTTGTGTGTTTTTGGTTTTTTAAGCCCCTTGCAGGTGTTATTTCACCATCCCTGAGCTCCAAAGACTGCAGGTTCCGGCTTTGACATTTTCTCAGAGTGCCCAGGACCGTGAATCTCCTTGTTACCCCCCTGCCTCAGTGCGAGGGGGACGTGTTGCTGCTGAACTGGGTGTCAATTCCCTGTCACCTCCAGCCTTTAGCTCCCCACACAAACTCCCCAGGGCTCTGCCATTCCTTACTTTGCCATGCAGGTTAACACTAGGTGCAACCTCGTCCTCCAGCTCCTCTGATGTGTCCTGCAGTGTCCAGCACCTCTCCACTAGACACTCAGAAATTCCCAGGTAAGCCGTCCCTAAAGGGACCATAACAGCTTGTTTGATTCAATTGAGGATCAGCGCCAATATAACATCACAGCACTGAGATATATTTGTAGTGAAAACAAACCGGAGTTTATTAACTAAGATTTAAGAGAGGGTGAGCAAAGCAATAAGATCAATAGTTTGACACATCAAACACCAGGTATAACAGGATTCAGATAGTCTGAGTATAACTTTAACAAGCATTCTCCTAGGGTCACCAGCCACCATCACTGGGATCCTCCTTTCCATGAATACAAAGTGTGCTCTCCTGTTTGCTTCCTGAAGGATCGCAGGGTGCGGTTCTTGTCCCTTAGTTATAGTCCAGTAAACCGCTGATGTGCCTCCCCCCATCCCACCTTGTTGGTTCTCCAGTGTGCTCTTTCTTTTGGTCCTATATGCCACTGGCTCTCAACCTTTCGTAACCACTGTACCCCTTTGTCTTGCCTACCCCCAAGTTTCACCTCACTTAAAAACAACTTGCTTACAAAATCAGACATAACAATACAAAAGTGTCACAGCCACTAGTACTGAACGATTGCTGACTTTCTCATTTTTACCATATAATTTTATAAAAGAAATCAATTGGAATATAAATATTGTACTTACATTTCAGTGTATGGTATATAGAGCTGTATAAACAACTCACTGTCTATAAGAAATTTTAGTTTGTACTGACTTCACTAGTGCTTTTTGTGTAGCCTGTTGTAAAACTAGGTAAAGATCTAGATGAGTTAATGTACCCCTGGAAGATCTCTGTCTACCCCCGGGGGGGCACTTACCCCAGATTGAGAACCATTCCTATATGCAAACGGCTTCAATTAAGTTCCTTAGAATGCTTATTCTACATGTGGACTGTGGGAGAGAGATGACTAGATATCCCTTTGTCTGGCAAAACGGGTTTCTTAACCCTGCATCTATTCAGACTTTACAATAGTTTTGGTATATAAATGTAGTTCCTTAAAAATCATTTGCCCACATTTCTTGCAATGATCATGAAGAACAGTTTGACACATAGGTATGGGAACTAGGGGTGCTTGTTTCCGGAGCCCAAAAGCGGCGTTCCATGGTGGTGAGCATGTCCATGAATGCCACAAGCAAACTCATGTCGTTTGCGTTACTCGGGTCGATATCATCGTCAGAGTCCTCACTGTCACTTTGGATCTTAAGGAATAACTCGACTGCCAAACGTGACGTGCTGGCGAGATTCATCAGCATATTCCTCAGCAGTTCGGGCTCCATTCCCACAGACCGAAAGGGAAGACAGAGTGTGCAGTACAAAAAACGTTGAAAGATGGTGCCAAATGTGGACAGAAGCAAAGGGAATGCTGGGATGCGAACTGATGCATCATGGGGCGTTGGGACAGGTCCCAGAATGCCCAGGATGGGGGCAGGAGTTAGGGTGAAGGGAGCACAGTGCTGGGATTAGGGGTGCAGAAGGGAGGTGCAGGTGTTGGGGTGAAGGGGGCACAGTGCAGGGGTTAGGGGCACAAGGGTCGGGATGTACGAGGGGCAGGGGTTAGGATGAAAAGGGCACTGCAGGGATTAGGGGTGCAGAAAGGAAGTACAAGGGTAGGAGTGAAGGGGGTGTAGGGATTAGGGGCACAGGAGGGGAATGCAGGGATTAGGGACAAAGAGAGCACAGTGTCAGAGAATAACAGTTCTCACTTTTTGTTTGGGTACAGCAAATCAGATACTTTATTATCTCTATCAATTGCGCAGAGGGAGAGAGCTAAATAGGTCTCTCAACAGGTAAACAATTTCAGCAAGCATTTATACCTTTTGTTACAGACAATAATGAGCAACAGTTGCATTTTGTTTATACATAGGTCATTCTGATATCTTGTTTTGCTTACTAATGTAGACTCTTAGTCTACATTCCATATTATCTACACAAGGTCGCAACAACTTCTCACACAGTTCTTTCCCACTTGCTTCTACAAATCTCGCGTTATTAGGGTTACAGTTAGCATAACTCTTGCTAATGAACTGTCATGCATTGCATCCCCTTCCTGTCAGTTCTTTCTCTGCTTCCACAACAGTGTAGGGGTTGGGGTGAAGGGATGGTGGGGAGCCCACGGGGGCTAGGGGCAATGGGGGGAACGCCATGCCCACACGGGCCAGGGGCACCAAAATGCAAGTTCGCAGTAGCCTGATACTGAGGCGATGTGGGGATAGTGGGTGGGGGTTTCCCGGGGAGGGGAGACCCTGAGATAAAGGGGTTACTGCCAGGAGGCAGCACCCCAGCTCACAAGGCACCGGAGTCCAGGGAGGGACACGGGGGGCCAAGTGGTAGTGGATCACCGGCCTGTAGAGGGCGCTCTGGGCTGGAAATCGAGCTAATTCCCTGAGAGACCAGCAGGAGATGCTGCAGGAGTGAGTTCGCGCCCTTATACCTCACCCAGACGCCCAAGAACATGGTGGGGGGGCCTCCGGGCACACAACCACTCCACCCCAGGGGACTGCCCAAGCAACAGAAGCTGGCATTCAATAAGTTTTAAAGTGCATGTGGCCTTGTCCTTCCCTCCTCCCCCACCCCACCCCACCCCACCCGGTGCTTCCCTCCTCCCCCACCCCTCCCGGGCTACCTTGGCAGTTATCCCCCTATTTGTGTGATGAATTAATAAAGAATACATGAATGTGAAGCAACAATGACTTTATTGCCTCTGCAAGCGGTGATCAAAGCGGGGAGGGGAGGGTGTTCAGCTTATAGGGAAGTAGAGTGAACGGGGGTGGGTGGGCAGGGTTTCAAGGAGAAACAAACAAAAGTTTCACACCATAGCCTGGCCAGTCATGAAACTAGTTTTCAAAGCTTCTCTGATGTGCACTGCGCCCTCCTGTACTCTGCTAACCGTCCTGTTGTCTGGCTGCGTGTAATCAGCAGCCAGGCGATTTGGCTCAACCTCCCACCCTGCCATAAAGGTCTCCCCCTTGCTCTCACAGGTATTGTGGAGCGCACAGCAAGCAATAATAACAATGGGAATATTGGTTTCGCTGAGGTCTATCCAAGTCAGTAAATTCGCCAGCATGCTTTTAAACGTCCAAATACACATTCTACCACCATTCGGCACTTGCTCAGCCTATAGTTGAACAGCGCCTGACTACTGTCCAGGCTGCCTGTGTACGGCTTCATGAGCCATGGCATTAAGGGGTAGGCTGGGTTTCCAAGGATAACTTTAGGCATTTCAACATCTCCAATGGTTATCTTCTGATCTGGGAAGAAAGTCCCTTGCTGCAGCTCTTGAAACAGACCAGAGTTCCTGAAGATGCGAGCGTCATGTAGCTTGGTGCTCCGGTGCCAAGATAGGGATATGGGTTCCGTCTATCGCACCACCACAGTTAGGGAACCCCATTGCAGCAAAGCCATCCACTATGACCTGCACATTTCCCAGAGTCACTACCCTTGATAGCAGCAGGTCTTTGATTGCATTGGCTACTTGGATCACAGCAGCCCCCACAGTAGATTTGCCCACTCCAAATTGATTCCCGACTGACCGGTAGCTGTCTGGCGTTGCAAGCTTCCACAGGGCTATAGCCACTCGCTTCTCAACTGTGAGGGCTGCTCTCCTCCTGGTATTCTGGTGCTTCAGGGCAGGGGAAAGCAAGTTACAAAGTTCCATGAAAGTGCCCTTATGCAGGCGAAAGTTTCGCAGCCACTGGGAATCGTCCCAGACATGCAACACTATGTGGTCCCACCAGTCTGTGCTTATTTCCCGGGCCCAGAATCGGCGTTCCATGGCATGAACCTGCCCCATTAACACCATGATGTCCACATTGCCGGGGCCCGTACTTTGAGAGAAGTCTGTGTCCATGTCCTCATCACTCTCATCACCGCGCTGCCGTTGCCTCCTCGCCTGGTTTTGCTTTTGCAGGTTCTGGTTCTGCATATACTGCAGGATAATGTGCGTGGTGTTTACAGTGCTCATAATTGCTGCGGTGATCTGAGAGGGCTCCATGCTTGCCGTGCTATGGCATCTGTGCTGAAAAAAGATGCGAAACGATTGTCTGCCGTTGCTCTGACGGAGGGAGGGGCGACTGACGACATGGCTTACAGGGTATTAAAATCAACAAAGGGGGTGG